TTTATAATCATCAGATAAAAAAGGACTGGAACCAATCAGCATCAACAGAGACTAACATGGTTGCAATTTGCATGGAAACAATGACAAGTCAACATGACAGACTTTCCATGCAGTGTTGGTTGAGACTCCAACTGATGTGCTAAATGATGCATACTTTTTCTTGGACCTCTTGCTATTGCGTCCCATGCTGCACCAACAAATTCTTCTGTATAATATGCTACATTTGCATCCCTTCATATGCTTATTACACACACTTCCTGCTTCTTCAAAATGTTCAACAATCTGGTTGTCTCTCTCTTCTGGATAGTGGAACATGAGCAGAAGACTCGTCATGATATCTTCTATTCACAGCAACACATTAACCACCAGAAGTATAAGGTTTCAATAATAAACACTTTCTGATCCATTGTATATAATGCTATCTTGTTACTCAGTTCAGCATTACCAATGTGCAGAGTGATAGAATAAAAGCTTCCTACAATTACACTCAATAACAAAGAAATTATACAAATATTAATGTGTCAGGTGATAAATACACGAAACTCTACACAAGTAGTGACTTGGTGACTACAATAATATATGCAGTACAGTCAATAATTTTGTGGGCTGGCCACATAGTGGCGCTGTTATGCACTACAGCAGATACGTGGCTCCATAACATGGCGCTGTGTCCATTCATTTCTTATCCCAGCAAGAAGCAGTTGTGCATGTGCGGTGTATTCTGAAAGAAACTCACTGTTGTGAAGGGTGGTTGTCTGCGAGCAACGGAAATCAAGAATGTTGCAATTTGAGCGATGGGAAAATGTCAAGTTCTGCCAGAAATTAGGCAAATCCGCTAGCAAAACGTTTCAGATGATCAAGCAAGCATACAGCAAAGAATCTTTGTGCCACAGTGCTGTGTTTAACCTTCAACGGCCGAATGACTCGTATACATGTTGCAAGTAGGGAGCGGAGTTGGCCGAATGACACGTATATGTGTCGCAGGACACGTGCACTCTTTAGGAGTGCTGACAGTTTGACCTTGGGTTTGAAACCAAAAGAAACCTACGTGAAGTCATGTCAGTGGTTCATTCCTTAGCTCGGAACAAACAAATCGTTTATGTTGGTCCTGATTTCGAAACTATTTATGTTTATATATGACTGTTTATGAACTGGTGAGCCAAATGTAGCCCAGCTTTGTTCTGAGAACTGAAGAGGAAATATTCGTCAGTGCTTACAGATCAGTGCTTCCAGAGCTTTCAAGGAAGTGTGACGTATTCAAGTATTGGTTTTCAGTGGCGAATTATCAGTTAGGAAGTCAGTGTCGGATTGTGTTATATTTCTTTTTCACTTAAAAAGTTAGTGTCAGACTCTCATATATTTCTGTTTATATTATTTTGTGTCTTGGAAGAGGTATAAACCCACTGAGCCAGTATTTGTTTGTGAGTAGAAGGCATCTTCGTCACTGTGACTTTCCGTATCAGTGTCGGACTGGCACCTTTTAGACTACTATTACAATTATTATTATTTATTGCTAGTGGGGTGGGACTAAGTCTCTTGTACTGCTGCCACTTCTGGCCTACTGTACCATACTATTACAGTTACTTCGCATCACTATTTTGCGAGTCTTTGTGAATCATCATAATTTATTCGATTTTGCTGGAAACCCCCCTCTCCCCAAGATGGAACCTCAAAAACGTGCCCGATATTCCAAAATTCTCGATGCAGAAGAGCTGGAGGAAATATTGATGGAAGAGGAATCTGATGAAGAGTTAGAAGATATCAGTGAGTTCGTTGAACCTCGAGCAGATACGTCGTTGTCGTCATCATCATCAGACGAGGCAGAGGAAACAGAAATTAGGTTTTGTGATAGAAGACCCGGGGATTCACCAAAGGTAACAGACTTCACTGGTCCTCCGAGTGGAATCAACAGATCAGCTGCTCCCAATATAAATGCACAGTCTTCTCCTTTTTCCATTTTCATTCTGTTTTTCCAACAAATATTCCAAATTTTGTTACAAGAAACCAACAGATATTTCCACCAATTTATGGCATGCCAAGATGCTCCAGGCCCTTCTGTTCAACTGCCTGACATCACAATTGAAGAGATAAATAACTTCTTGGCAATAATTATTCAAATGGGCCACGATCAACAGGACACCCTCAAAGATTACTGGTCAAGAGATGCGCAATACTACACTCCATTCTACCGTAACACCATGGTACGAGACCGTTTCTTCCATATTTTGAGATTCCTACATTTTGAAAATAATGAAGCTCCTCCCAATCGAGATGACCCAGAGTATGATAGGCTCTGGAAAATTAGAAAAATTTTTGACGATCTCAACAACAAATTTTGTGAACTTTACAATCCAGCAGAACATCTTGCTGTTGATCAAGTCATAGTGTTGTTTAAAGGAAGAGTGATTTTTCGTCAGTATATTCCAAAGAAACGCAAAAGATTTGGTATAAAAATTCACAAGCTTTGCGATTCTTTTGGGTATACTTATGACATGACAGTTTATTTGGGCAAACAAAGGCAACTTGCGACAGAAGAAATTACCTCGACACATGGCATTGTTCTCCAGCTAATTCGAAGAGTAGAAGGCTTGGGACACAAAATTTACATGGACAGTTATTTCAGTTCTCCTGCTTTATTTGACGATCTTTAAGACAGGAAAATAAATTCATATGGCACCGTTCGCAATGATAGGTGTGGAATGCCACAAGAAATTCGGCCCAAGTCAATGAAATTGAAAAAAGGGGATGTTGTTACATGAGTCAAGGGGCAGCTAAGTGTTGTTTGTTGGAAAGACAAGTGTGATGTGTATGTTCTGATGAATTTGCACCCTCCTCCATTGGAAGGCAACTTCCGAGAAGAATCCGGCCGTGCTGTCAAACCCCATGTAATTGAAGACTACAATGCACACATGGGCTTTGTTGATGAATCTGACAGGATGGTAAACAGTTATGGCATGGCTAGGAGGACATGGAAGTGGACAAAGAAATTGTTTTTCCACCTTCTAGATATGACTATTCTTAATGCATATCTATTACACAAGTCATGTGGTGGAAAAATGACACACAAAAAGTTCCGCGAAATATTGGTGCGGGATTTGATTCTTCAGTTGCATGAGGCAAATATCACAGTCAGTGGCATTTCTCGGGGAGGCCAAGTTCATCTGGGGCCCAATTGAGTCGACTGGAGGTGAAACATTCACAACACTGGCCAGCCAAAGGAAAACAAAGACGGTGTCATATTTGTTTCCAGAATAAGAAGCGCAGAACCATGGCCTACTACCGTAAAAAGTGTAACGTTGCGCTCTGTGTGGAGGACTGTTTCGAGAGATGGCACACGTGCGTCAGAGTGTGAGATAGCGTAAACTGTGAAGTGACGCAGTTCAAATTCGCATACAGTCTGAACAAAATATTATTGTACATAGTGTGATCATATCTACAATATTAGCATTATTCAAGATTGAAGAAAAAACAATGGGTAAGTCCTTTGGAACTCATAACATATATAATATAGACTATGTTTTGCATTTCATGACAAAATATTCACAGTTAATTTTCATTTGTAAAACCTGTTCTTTTACGTATATGTAGAAAATTTTATTGTCTTTCAGGTTCCTTTTAGTTCATATTTCTATGTTGCATAGAACAGAAAATATGGATTTTTTTCTGAAAGTTTGCGGTGATAATTAATTAGGGTGATTTAAATTCCGGCTGCACAGGGCTCCTGGCAATTTAAAAGTCTGCACATTAAAGGTTAAGTGGCACAAACATGTTGCACAGGGGAAACAGTTTGGAAGATGATGAGCATACCAGTCAGCCAAGAACGGTCAGAACTGAACTCAAGATCAAAGAAATTGTGACTTTGGTGCTTGCCAACCGCTTCCAAATGGTAGCTGAAATGGCAGAAACAGTAGCAGGGCTTAGCCATGGTACTTGCCACAGAGTTCTGTATGATGACCTGAACATGTCTCGTGCTACCCAGCACAGTGTTCCACGTGTCCTGACGCAAGTCCAATCTAACAATCACGTGAGCATTTGCGGTGATCTGATCAACAGTGCTGACAAAGGTGGGATGTTTCTCAAATGATAATAAAAGAAGATGAAACATGGTGTTTTCTTTGTGATCCACAACTGAAGTGACAATTGGCAACCTGGAAATTACCATCATTGCCAAGAAAGAAGAAACCATAACAGGACAGGTCAAAAAGCAAGGTAATGCTTGAAATGTTTTTTAACTCATCTGGAATTGTTCATATGAAATTCATCCCAGGAGTGACTGTAAACAAGCACTGCTACAAGGATATCCTTCGCCGTCTATGCAATTCAATTCGTCGTAAGAGTCCTGAGCTTTGTCACATGAGAACTGGCTGTTTCTACATAACAATGCCCTTGCAAATCACTTTGTGCTTGTCCAACAGAAGCTGGCAAAATAACAGGTCACCATTTTGCCACACCCTCCAGACTCACCTGATCTCACACTGTGTAATTTCTTTTTCTTACCCCATTCGAATTAAGAGCTATGTGGGTGCTGATTTTAGTTGCCCGAGGAGACTGTCACTGCTGCAAGGGAAGCTGTATGGGACCTTCCTGTAAATATCTTCCAGCAGTGTTTCCAGCAGCTATACCAATGTTGGCACACTTGTATAGCAGCCAATGGAGACTATTTTGAGGGAGGATGTGGACATGTGTATGTGAGCATCTTGTAATATGGTGCGACAAACCACAGTCCATGAAATTGACTGTAGTATTTCTTCTCCTATTTTCAGGAAATTTGACATGAAATATGAGTACTTTGGTGTATCTTTCTTTGGGAAGCATTCTTTGCATTATTTGGAAGGAATAAATAAAATATTGTGTTATGTTACAAGACTCTGCTACATACAGTACAGAACAAGTAATTAAATACGATAACATTATACAAGGTACAACTGTCGACCAGCATAGGTAGATTAGGCATTTTAGTGACCGATGCTGATGTACAGGGTTTTGCAAAATCAACTTACTATCAATGGATCTTCAGCATTCCCCAGTCCTGATTTGGATACAGGAAAGTGTGGACGGTCCTTGCATATGATGGGAATTTTTCCCAATGCCAATGAACCCTCTCCATACCAGCCAGATGATTCTTCAAAGTCTTCATCATCACTCTCATCCTCTGGACCAAATGTCACATGAATCTGTGAATGTTGCATGTTATGCTTTACAAAAGACAAAATATTTCATATTTGAATGCAACGTTTCAAACCAGACTTTAACACTATGTATTTCTCTAAAGAGCACTCACAAAATTTGTAGTGGAGACAACCCTGCCATCACTATCACCAGTGCTGCCACAAGATGTTATCAGACTAGACAGAAGAATGTGAGTTCCATTTGACTGTGATACACAGCTTGCATCATTCAGAGTCAGATGTGTCACACCGAGCTCATGAATGAGACTGGCAGGAAAGCTAGCAACGATGCGACTCTTTCCACATTCTACTGTCATAGCTGCTGCCAGGCGAACCAGGGCACTTGGTTGTGGCTCTGTATAACACAACATTAGACATTATTCAAAAGAAATTTCAGTCAACAAAACAGAACGATACATCTAATAAACAAAATGAATTACACATATAACCTTCATTCAGTGGGAGAACATGCCAAAGGCCTACATCAGAGGTGACCACAAGCAGCTTCAGAGTTGCAAGCAACTCCATGACAGTTGACATATTTTTGTCTGAAAAGTAGCCATGCAGTGTTTAAAGTCAAAATATTATTTAATGAAAAAGCTGGTCAATATTAAAGATTACCACTGTTAAATACTAAAATTGGCTTCAAATTCCATCAAAATATACCAGTCATGGTATTCTGAGATCCATAAACTTATTTATTCTGTTTGGAATATGTAATAGTAGCAGAAGGAATCTACTTATCATTGTACCTGTTTATGAAAAGGGCGATAGCGCTCACTTTGGTAATTATGGAGGTGAGAAATGATCATTTGTTTTGAGACAGAGGCAAAGCTACTTGCAGAGATTTTGGCCAAAAGCTGGCCTGGCTTTGTAACTTAGTAATTTAAATTTTTATTTACTACTGCTGTTTAGTACTCTGGGATATGTACAACACTGGGGTGGTTTCCAGTTTTGTGACAAATTAGTCAACTGTTAAAAAGGTGAAGAGAGGTTCACACAGACGCGTACACACAGCACTGTGACCTCATAAGCCTGCATTATTTCCTTAACATATTCACTGCCAATCCTGTCACCTTGTCTGGTACAGTTTACTGTGTGCTGGTGCTGATCATGAGAAGTAACAGGCTGATGCCACTGTGTATATGTATATAATTTTCTCCTATATATGATGCTCAAATGAAGAGAAACTTTAAGCATAACTTGTTAAAGACTGAATCAAAATATGCCATGATAGTCAACTGTCTTTCACTTGTCCTCTTCTAGTTCCATCTTAATTGCAGCTAGTTCAAAATCCAGTTTTGGTGAAAAAATTGCCCAGCTGCTAAATTCCTGGTATGAAGGCATGGCAGTAGATGTGTTACCAACTGAACCTGGTAGTTCACCATGTTTTTGTACACAGATCTCTACAGAGCTCCTTTTTCAAACTCTCAAATGCTTGAAAAATCTTGTTCCAGTTGCTCAGTGTTAAAATTAAGAAATAAACTGAATATGGTGAAGTGTTATGTATTAAAGCAAGTGTCACATAACTTCGAACAAGGATAAGAGTAACCCTGAATGCATAGAATAAAATTTCAGACAAGGGGGTGGGTTTGAGGGTGTGAGAAGTGACAGGTGGCCAGTTTTCTTCTGCGCATTCAAGGTTACTCTTGGCCTTGTTCGAAGTTACATGACACTTGATTTAAAATACATAAAGTTCAAGGGATTATTACAAATGCACAAAATTACCCTGTGCTGTGAAGCCACTGACAAGTGTTGCTCCTGGATAATTGGGCTGCTGTTGCATCAGTTCATGATTACCAGTATTTGCCTTCAGTTCTTCCTCTTTCTCATACTCATTCCATGTCCCTTGCTTGGCTATAGTTCCTTCGCTTGCTTTCATTTTGGTAATGTTATGCATCTCTGGTCCACTTCTTAACCCTACAGTACAAATTCAATAATGTCCAGTGATAAAAAAAAAGGCAAGCTATAAAAAAAAAGTGCCCCATCTTCAGCAGCCAAGCATAAAATCTGATGAGTTTATTTATTTACACAGCAGCATTTTGTAATGTGCTCATATAAGTCAAACTCAATATCAGTACCCACCCCATTTTGCATCCCTTACCATAATTTCATTTCTGTCATGGAAGTCTCAATAGTGAAGTTAATACAAATACATGTAACATGAAATTTTCATCTCATTAATGAAGCAACATTACTCCCTATTTTATATGCATAGTTATGACACATTTACCTACCACACCAAAACTTGTTTATGTAGTTATTTATCAGTGCTGTATCAACTGCTTACAAGGTTGGGCAAAAAAGTTTCAAGACTTATTTTTAATTTTGTGCCAAATGATCCTGCAATGCTGTTACTTGGAATGTTACGTGACACAAACAAGACAGAGTTCACATGGATAGTCTGGATAAATTGTGTTTAGTATTGCTGAACAGTGGCTCATCAGATGACTTTGTTTCGTCAACTCTGTCCAGACGTGAAAATGGAGCATATGATGGAATGGACAGTAAATGTGAAAATTTGTGTTAAACTACAGAAATCTCCAGGTGCAGCTTTAGAGATGTTAAAAACAGTTTATGATGAATCTACCATGAGCAACAGTAATATGTTCAAGTGGCACAAACATTTCAGAGAAGGCAGAGAAGATGTGAACAATGAAGAAAGGCAAGGTGCTCCCATAATGCAGAGAACAGACAAAAATGTCACAAAAACCAGGGAACTTTTAAGACCCAACCACTGGCTAACTTGCAGGATGATAGCTGATGAGCTTGTTATGAGCAAAGACTTTTCTTGATGCTAGCATGACGATAAGTCTTTCTGGAGAAGAAAACAGAAATAATGGTATGGGGGGGGGGACTGGTAGTCAACCCTTAACCCTTTGACGCGGTCATTTAAATTCCGCGGCCGCGTCTCCGGCGGTAATATATTCAGCCGGCCATTTAAATTTTGCTCGAAAATGATTTATTCATCATTGTTCTTAAATTCTATGAGATAGGAACATGAAACTTTC